AGGGGTGGGAGACAGGGAAGGGGGTAGGGAGGAGGGGGAGGCCGAGAGGAGGTAGAGGGTGCAACAAAGGGGTGGAGAGAACAGAGAAAGAAACAATTCATCAGATCTATGATGCAGGTAACACTGATTTTTGCCTATTTTTCAAACACTTCGCTACCTCAGAATTACAAAGTTTTATCAGCTCAGTAACTAGTTTTGAGAAATTTGACGTAAAAAATTCTGATTTTCACATCATTTCAAGCTTTGTCTAATGCATTTCTTTGAATATCTTGACAACGACTTCGAATAATCTCACGATTTTGATACAGCAGATAGAACATTTGGTTTCTGGCCTCATGGTCTTAGTAACTCGAAACAGCTAAAAATGTAGGACAGAACTTTGTAATTAGTTCTAAGATAGCGACATACAACTGGCCTTTAGTAAGGTAACAAACTCATATATAAAATCAAAACACTTCAAAATTAAAACATATAAGGAGAGTATATTTTTATGAACTTGGCTCCGAAAAACCCACATATATACATTCAGCCAAAATTTAGTTCAGCTGACGAACTTTAAGAAACTAGCATTGATTAGAAGTTTTATCAGACCAAATTTACAACTGTTTGTTCACACATTCTGCTCAAAGTTATTGTTATTTTTTTGCCATATCCCAAACCTTGTACTATCAGAGATAATACTTGCTAATTTGTGGCGCTTTAGACTTTGTTTGGATGACAAACTGAGAAAACAATACTACAATATAATATAACATATAAAAAAAATAAGAGTTAGTATAATGTGAAAGTCTCACGTTGTTTTGTTTCATTTACGGGACAACAGCGAAAAGGTCAAAAGAGTCTTGACAAAGGCACTGATATTTTCATTTTCAGAGGACAGTTTTTAAAAAATGCACTGTATTAACAAGATGTAGATCTATTTTTAGTTCAATTTAAGCAAATACAAGAGTGGTCAACTTGTCAAGGGATGGCATAATAATATTATTACAAACGTTATTATTATTATTATTATTATTATTATTATTATTA